TTGCTTCTGAATGTAAGAAACACTGAGGATTTTGTGCTTTTAATTTAAATAAGTAGGACGATAACAGGAACGTAAAGGAGACCATTAAGGACATGAGTAAACTTCAGCACCGCAGCCCAAATGCTGACAAAGCCTCACTCAAAGGGGAAGTGTCACACGTAGCCACGGAGAGAGGGGTAGAGAGAGGTCTGGTACTTTGCACACATGGTAATGGCAACGGACATAAGTTGTTGGTAATATTACTGTAAGTTCACTGTGCCTGCTTCAGTTTCCCAGTCTATCTGGATGGCTTCTGCAGAGAGAAGGGGGTGAAGTCTTGTCCTGGGTCACAAAGCAAGAGATTTGGGATATCAGCACTTACCTATTTCATCTGAAAGTTGAACATACCTTCAGGAAGTAAACAAGGCAATTGCTGAAAGGAAACATGTTTTCAAAGGCAAAGATGAGCTTCAGACCTAGACGTTAACAGCAAATCCTGCCCAACATGAGCGTCTAAAAAATTTTTTGAAGAAACTCATAACACTATGGCCCCATGACTGTTTAAGCTGATCCAAAATGGCATGGCTACACTGAACTTGTGTGATTCTTTACTGAGCCAGCTCACAGACCTCAGTCGCCAGAAAGCTTACCCAAGGAATAGCTCTGCACAAGTTCAGCTCCAGGAAACAATTCATCGTGGCACAAGGTTGGTGCCAACAGCACTACAAAGTAGGGTACAGAAATAGACGGGTGGGAGGATCGCAGCAGCACTGAAATCAGCTCAAACCCATCAAGGAATTACAGCCAAAATGAGCAGGGACAAAAAAACCCCCGAAACCTGAACAGCTGATCTGATCCCAGGGTAACAAAGACTTTCCAAGAAGGCACTCTCAAGAAATTTTGCTTCTGTGTGCAGGCAACTGAAAACGCTAGCTAGTTTTAATAACCGCAATTGTCTGACTGTATTGGACACTAATTATCTCTTCTTCCAAGACCAAATCCTCACTTCAAAGCAGATAAAGATCCCTCTGAGAGAGCCATAAAACAAAAATAGAAATTCTGTGACTTCTTAGCCTGGCACGAGACGGAAGGAGCCAGGCGCCCTCCAGCCTAACCTTGCAGTACCCTATACAAAACTCACAGAGGGAAGCACCTTCACAGAACGCCTAAGAAACACTACTAAAGGCGAAGGTTTCAGAAAGAAAATGTATCAGGACACATCTGTGACCTGGCTAATACTTCTATCATCCATTTTTCCATGTGGAATTTTGTCATTTTGCTTCTGTCTGTGCACTTTGTTTTCCACCAAAAATAAGATTTGTGTTTAGCACAGGCCTTACTGCACTTGGGACCACTTCAGGCAATATTCCTCATCACACTTGATTACTTGCCTGTTCTATTGTTCTTTTAAGACTGCTTTGGCTTTTTTTTTTTTTTTTAAATTAAGAATGCATTTATATAACCTCTCAATTTCCCATTCTCTTGCCCATGTCTTTCTTCTTACATAATTTTGCTTTTCAAAAAGTAATTTATACACACTGTCTTATAAAACGCAGAACTTTGAAATTCTTTGTTAGGCAGAACCGCTGGAGCATATTAGGTTTTGAGAACGAACATGGTATAAATACGCAGCGAGATACACAAGTTTTTTCTGGAATTTTTAAAATGCAAGTACAAATGAGCTGGGAATAAACCATAACACTGATAGGTTGCAGTCAAGCAGAACTCAGTGTTCCCTTTAGTTTTGTAGCTGATTTGCAGGACAGATTGGGCAAAACTCTCAAACTCCAGAGCCGATTTTTCTTTCTCTGTCAAATAAGGGCAAGGAACTGCCTTAGAGAAAGGCTGTAGGCTAAGTTCCTCAAGAGGAATGCAGTAACACATGCTGGGCGGCAGTACAAATCATGCCCACAGAAATTAAGTATTTCCAATACATTCGTCTATGTTAATAACTTCAAAGAAAATTTCAACTGCTGCAACGTTTGTGAAAATTCACCTCTACAGTTCTACTTATTAAGCTCAAGTGTGAATCTCAGCTACAGAAAATATTTGCTGCCATCATCACTTCATCTTTTGCATTTATTCAGTAACAGACACTCCATAGGCACCTACTGCCGACTCCACGGCTCCCTTGTCAATGTTCCCCTCCAAAATCTGCGAGACTTCAGGGTAACTTCTAGAAAGAGGACTCTGATCTAAAGCAGGAGAGGAAGGCTGCTGTGTCTAGCAATAGTAGGCAGTGGGTGTAACTACTTGGAAACTTAACTCTTTGCTGTTTTAGTCCTTCAATAACAGAAGCCTTGATTTTTTTCACTGCAGGTTGAATCACATGGTATCATTGAACCACAGTGTAAACTAGCCTTTAAAGGGATTCCAGAAGTTTGGATGCCTCATATTCCATTCTTGGTAATAATGAGGACTCACCTCTTCTCATTGATGTATGCATGTGGTGGCTGGTCATGTCAACAGGAGTTCAGTATGCAGCAGGGTTGCACTGCTTAGATGAGTTCTGAAAAACCCATTTGGTAGCACCTGTACTTAGACTTAACAAAAATAAATTGCTGGATCGATCGGCGGGAGGAAACAAGGGGAGGAAAAGTAAGATTTTCCTCATGAATAGCTTTAGATGAACAGTGGGAGACGGTGGGCAATCTGATGAAACACTGAACGACAGAGCTGCCTCATGCAAAAGCACTCTGCCCTAAAGAAGTAACTGCAGTGGCATCATCCCATCTGAGCGAAGAAGCACAACGCAAAAATGAGGATGATCTACGTAACAGCATTGAGCAAACGTGAAGATGTTTCGCTGAAATAGTTTGTCTTATAAACCATCCTTAAAAGGATGAAAAGACCTTAACGTAAGCAAAAAACACTCTGAACTGCCTTCTTGATATTTGTGGGTAGGCCTGGGAGGAGATGAACTAACCCTCCAAGAGCAAATGCCAACCAGCTATCTGAATTCAGAAACAGACATGTACAAAAACCTCGTTCAACAAATAAGGAAAGCATGCAGCAGACAGGAACAAACAGGAAGCTTCCAGTAATCTATCAAGACCAAGGATAATCAAAATTCAACACAGAATGCTAAGTAGATGGTCTGTAAATACCTTCCCCTCTGCAACCTTTACTGTATAGCCCAGGGTATTTGGGGCAGCCGTGGATATGCAAGTGAAATTGCTATTCTTGGTAAATTCTGAATTAGTAACAAAAATGACATTCTACTGAGGAGGAGTTATTCTTGCCACTGTTATCAGCTTATATCCTTGGAGCAACACTGTTCATTCACCCAAGTCCTTTAACTAGTCTTAGGAATGTGTATTCCTTTAAATTTTAAGAGATCTTGAAAGGGAGAGGGAATTCTAGAGGAAACCGAAAGGGAAAAACTTGGTTTACTGTGAGTGAGGAAGTGGGACTTTCTCCATCTCAAGATACCTGTGCAAGGACTAGTATCTCTATCATGTAATAATTAATTCCAATAAAGAAAATATTTATCTCAGAGACTTCGTTGTCATGTCAGCAGATTTCAGATTTCACTCAGATTCTGAACTGACTTTGAGGCCTGCTGCGTCAGATATCAAGACCTTTCTCATTAAATATAGAAATAAGAATTAAAATAGTGATCTTTTTCCTCTCTCACACCGTAGTGGGGACATCTATGATTACTGCTAACTGACATAAAACCTGCTCCTCCCTATTACCTTAACCTCTCCACCTCTCCCTATTTACTTTTTCTGATTTATACTCACATTGGATGTGAACTGGACACGTTCACTGTAATCAGCACAACATTGCCGGGGGAGGGGGGGGTGTGTGCGCGTGCATGACTGGGACCTCTGAACCTCACCAAACACAAATCATCCATCCACAAGTGCTGTGTGTAATGCTTCGCTCTGAGTTATATTTCTCTGAAATGGAAGCCTTCTATTTGCGCCCCAATAAAATTCCCACATCTAATTAGTATTTGTGTAATGTACATGCCATAACCAAGACTGTTCTTTGTTCCTTCTCAAAGTTCTTTCAGAGTTCTTTCTCAACTGCTATTCAGCAGTAACTGTGGTATATTTAAGCGACACTAGAGGGAAGCCAAGACGTCTGACAACCGCTCTTTAAAAACACAGCCTGCAGTCCTAAACACAAAGTTAAAAATAAAAAGTCCTTAACATGATGTTGAAAATACATAATATTAAGTATAACTGGTAAAGATGCCAAATAGATTCTCAATTCACAGCATGGTTTTGCTGTTTCTTTTTTCTTGACACTTTGCATGCTGTTGGGATGCCCAGTCCGTTCCCTCCGGTCGTTCCCTCATTGACACGAGGAACCTGGGTGCTTCCCCAGTTGTAACACTTGCCAATAGTCTCAGGAAGCATTTGGAGAGTAAGATAACTCGCTAAGCATACACTGTAAATACGGGTGATTAATGTTCGAGTGTTTTCTTCCTTATTTGGTACTTGTGATATGGCTGCCCTGGTAATTTCTGCTTTGGTCATCAGTTCTGTTGTTTTCTGCCCTTAGCACCTGTCATGTTTCTAAGGCTATCAGGATGCCCAGTCCATCCCCTCTGCATGTTCCTGCACCAGCACCAGAGAAAGGATCCAGGTTCCCCCGGACTGTGAAAGTCAGCCAGATGCGAGTATGGTCAAGGCACAACTTGTTTGTATTCCTGCTCCGAGCTAGAGAGATCACACACCGGCCTGCTTTAAGGTAGGCCCCCAAAGCTCTGTCCCTATGACTGACTTCCTCTTATGTTCCCTGTCCCACCTCCTAAGTTCTTACACCTTACCACCCTCATCCCCTCCCAAATACACAGCCTGACTGTGTTTACCCTTTCCCTGTTGAACCTGATTCTGGTGACTTAATAGCCCCATTTGGTGTTTACGATATGGTTGCCCTGGTAATTTCTACCTTGATCATGAGTTATGTTAAATTAGTACCCCTTCTGTTACCTATAGCGTCTTGCTGTTTCTCATGCTGCCGTCTTGTTAGAAGCGTCGCAAATCAGGGTTAGCCATCTGCGCGCATACCTTAACGTATCTGTTTTATCTTCAACCCGCCGCAAGAGGGGTAACAAAACAAAAAAACAAAACCAAAAAACATTTGATACACAAAATAAGCTGATGGTAACACAATGCCAAAAATAGCTTATTATGTTAAGTGCAAGGGGAAAAAAGCCTTGATATAAAGCTTGATTGCAACAACATTTCAATTTACCAGTTTAAATACAAGAAGACTTGCATTAAAATATTTCTGGAGATAGATCTCTCGCTCTCTAAGGTGATTTTTTTTTAAATTTATATACACATATCCAGTTGTAACACTTAACAGTAGTCTCATGAAGCATTCAAAGAGTATAACTTGATAAGTACACACTGTAGATATGAGTGGTTAATGTTTGTATGATTTCTTCCTTCAAGGGTTTATAACATTATGTTGAGTACTAGCCTCAGACAGGTGACCAGCCACCTGATACAGTATAATACCCCCACAAGCCCTTCCCCAAAGTCCCACAGTCTAAGTTTCCAATGCTCACTGGATCCAGATGGTGTTGCCTCTTTCTGGTCTGCGAGCTTCCACTGTCAGCTCTCCAAAAGTGGAGAAAAATTGCTCCATTTCCTTCTGCAGCATGTCATTCCTCTTCTCCGCATCCTCTTTGGCCCGCTCTGCGTTACGCATTTTGATTTCCACCATTGTGAACTTCTTCCGCTCCTGATCCAGCTCTTCATGCAGGGCCATCATTTCTGCCTCCAGGGTGAGGTTTCTCTGCTCCAAGCTGCAGAAGCAAAATAAAAGCAGACAGCTCCTGAGCAGCACTCCTCACTGGTGCGTAGAGAAACAAAACATCACAAACTCACGTGTGTGTTTATCTTTTCATTTACAAAGCTCAGATTAAACTTCTGAGAAGCATACCTGCAAACAATGGCTTCACCATTGATTCATTCTCACAGGGTAATCTCTATTCCAGTCAGAAAATGCATGATACCAACCACTAGTAAGGTGTACAGTAGCTCCAAATAATTCTCTGGGAAATGGCTTAAATAGCCTCTTACTTCTGGAAACGTTGACTCCCAACTCCCACTATAGCTGCCCTAGTGTCACATCAAAATAATGCCCTGAATGCCATTGTTTCACAGCTAATCTCTCTTCTTCAGCTGATTTATCTACTATATCTATCTGCAAGTATGGATCAATAATTCAAAAGAAATTGAAATCAACATGGTTTGACTTTCATTTAAAAAAAACAAAACACATAATTTTGGATCTTCTGAAAAGTATCAGGCATGCTAGCGGTATTACTAAACAGGTTCATCATGCATGTTAAACACTCTAAGAGGTGCTCTACTGTACTGCACACTATGCTGAAAGTTGTGATGTAGCAGGGAGACTTCAGTTTTCTAGGCACTGTACTTTCACTGCCAGCTACTGATGCCAGGAGCTCTTACATGCTGTGATCCAGCTATGGCTCGCAGCGCTAGAGACCTCAAAGCAAAGGGCTTCTGCGCACCAGAAGTAGGAACAGACACAAGTCCCGAACAGTTTGCCGAAGAACAACTATTATGAAGATAGCACAGTCAGCTCCACACCTAGTTGACACTAAGTCCAGACTTGAAAGTTATTCACTGATCAGTACATGCACCCTAGCAACCTTGTTCTGCGTGAGAAGGCTCTATATATCAGTGCAGACAAACGCACGAGCTCCCCTTTGCCTTCTGTAACAAGGCTGAGCTGTGAAGGAAAGGCTCAGGCAAAGCAGCAGCGCAGAAAAGGGACAATAAACTGGAGTTACAGTTCTGGAAAGGGACAATCTCCTGTATATTCTTGGATTCACTGAGGAACTCGGCTTTAGGTATGAACACCCTGCTGAATGGAAGTGAGACGCCAAATGCCATGTTTGTTAGATGACTTAGTGCATGTCTTGCCTGTGCCTTCTTCAGCAGCAACGCTCACATGAAAGGTGGCGCAGCAGATGCAAGGGAAATCAGTACTTGCTATCCTGAATCAAGCTCTTTCCTACTCTATGAATCAGTCTATACCATGTTTATGGCCTCACCCTGAGGCACCTATTCAGTGTCACAGCAATGAAAAGGATGGTATTTCAGTTCACTGTGGCAGGAGCTTGGGGAATCCACAGGAGCAAGAGAAGGGGGAGGTACCAGATGAGGTTAATGAGGAAGAAAGGCTGGAAGAGGAAGAACATTTGTTCCCTGCAAGGAACGCTGAGGATGAAGGTGAAGGATCACACACCAGAACTGCAGCTACTGTGAAGCAGTGCGCGTATGGTGGGAAGAACGAACACAGCTTCTAACTTCAGCAACACGAATAGCAAAGGAAAGTCCCTGATGCAGCACTGTCTGAAGAGGAACGATGACTCTGGAGAAGAGTTCTAGCATTTTCCCAGTCCCCCAAACTATTTCACTGAAATAGTTTCACTGAAACATGAAGCCCAGTTGCCATTTTCATTTTCTGGAGAAGAGGCATCAACTGATCAAATCACTTTGAGAGCTGACTGACTTTGTCATATGCTACAGAAACTCAGAAGGTTCTGATTTTATTTTTGGTGCTAATGGGATAACGAGTCACAACTACGGCAAGTAATTGGCCTAAAACAAAACACACAGGATCATATCCCAAGAGCAATCCCATATGACAACTCTGAAAGGCAGGAAACCCAGCAGAGAGCACCCAGTGACTGCAGCTACTGTGGACTTCTAGCAAAGCGCTATTTTAACAGGTTTTGCAAAACTATGCTGAAGGCTGGTTTCAGTTCTATTTGCTTTTATAAATCTTACTTCAAGCCTGTATCAACTCACAATATAAACTAAAAATACCACTAACATATAACTAATGGCATTTTTTATTTGCTATAGGGCTTTTTCCTATAGCCATTAAATACATCAGCTATGCTTTTGTCTATGCCACATTGGCTGCATACAGCAACAAGGAGCACTCCTCTCTGTGCTCAGAGCAGTCACAAGCATGGCGACTGCAGACACCATTCTTTTCCAGTCACCAGCTTCAGCTGAATGGGGCTCTCCCCCCTGATCAGGTGCTGTGCAGGTATGGCAGGACAGACTGATAAGTATTACCTATTCTACTCTGAATCAGAGGTCTGCAATAAGCAAACTTTCAGGGAGGAACTAAGGGAGTTACAAACTCGGTTCCCATCAGCTTCTGGTGGAGGGTAGTAGCGAGTCTAACTCCTCTTTGTGTCTCTAAGACGACTTCTGGTGCTGTCTGTGCTGGGCACAGTAACTGTCTAGCTGTACTGACTTTTCAGCTTCCAAGCCAGAGCCTGGGATGCATAGGACAGGCAGGAGAAGGAGTGTTTCTTGGTTTTCCTTCGCAAATGGCAGTCAGGTGGCAGAGGCAAACTGTCTTACCTTTTTATCCTCGTTTCATACTCTAGCTTTTGCTTGGCCATCTCTTGCTTCAGGCTGGACACCAGGCTGTGCAGAGCACTGTGACTGTTGGTACTGTTTGCCACAAATGTTTCGCTGTTATCACTGCTGCTGGTGGCTCGGCTACTGTGGCCCCCGACACTCCTTCGGTCACTTTTGTTCTCATAGTCTCCTGGATTAGAGAGGTCTTCCTGTGGTGGCCCGTCCAGCACAGAGTCTTCAAAGTTACCTCCATAGAAGTCCTGCTCAGGGCAGGTGGTGGTGGACGAACGACAGGAGTTGGAGTGCTCAGGGAGGGATATTTCACAAGAGGACGTTGACCAGGTGGCGCTGTCCACGCTCTGTTTATCATCGGAATTCACCATGGAGAACTGCTGGTGGACATTGTCATAGGTGGAGAGTCTGTTGTGCTGGCCCGAGTCACTCACCGACTCCTTTTGCTTGTTGTCCCTCAGTGTGACGTAGCCATTGGGCACCCAGCCGGGGGTCCGGCTGTTGAGAGTGTTGCTGTGCCCATCTGTGCTGGAAACCCCCATCCGCACCCCGCCATTCTGCACGCTTTGTGTGCCCATCTTAGTCACCGGTCCTTTCAGGCATGACGTTCTCCTGCTTTGCAGGGCACAGTTTGGTAAGGTCTGGCTCTTCTCATGGCCCTCCGCAGAGCTGCTGAACGACCCATTGGTGACTATGCCACTGCCTTTATTAAAGGCAGGGTTTTTTTTCACTGTGAGAGGTGGACTTCTTGTGACATCCAGTTTCTGGATGCTGTTCCTGGGGCTACTTGTCTTGCTGCCTGGCAGAGCAGTGGGAGACCCACTGTCCATGCTTCCCCTTTGGGGAGACTCAGGTTTGTCCCAAGAGCAGCGCCTCACTGCTGACTCCTTGCTGTTGTTGTTTTCTTTGTTCTGTAGCTGACCCATGATCACTTTCTTTGGCATTTCATTGTTGTTGTTACACGCCTCCGGTCCCATCTGAGGATCTGCGTCCTTGGGAAACAACTCTTCATGCTTGCTTATCATCACTGACATTAGCTGCTGGACTACTACTGTACCTGGAAGGAGATACCAAACATTGTCATTAATGGCCAGTTTTGTTTAAGGCATAGATATATTTTGGGGGTCAGCTTCCACAAATATTTAATAAACATTCAATTTATAGACACGCTTATCCAGTATGTCCATCTGTATAACATACTGAATGTTTAACACGTGCCTAAGTAACATGAGCCTTCAGGCCACTCCATCCTATCTTTTTTCCATTTTCCTACCATCACGGCTGAGACAGAGTAAACAACCCAAAGTGAACCTGGATACCACCATTTGTTTTAGAAACAAGGAGATCAGAGCTTTTACCCTACCTGATTATCTCACACGCTCCCTCACTCGCTCCCCCCAGTGTTATGTTCTGTAGGTCTCAACTTCACGTCCCAGCAGGGAGATTGTCCGGGAAGGTCAGGCGGGAAAGCTGTGTTTGTTCACGCTGTGCAGCCGCTCACAGTTACTAGTCTTGGGCATTACCAGTCAAGGGCCATGGACATCCCTCAGCATTTGTGTCTCCACGCATCTCCATGACACCCAGGATCTTCTCCTACTTCCAGGATCTCTTCTCCAGCCAGGATCTTCACCTTCGTCCTTCTGGGCCTGCTTTTTCTTTCCGAGACCACTTTGAGTTTTTGAGAGCTCTTCTTTTTGGCATCCCCTCTTCTTTGCATCAAACCAAGCCCCTGGGTTTCCCAATCTAAATAGTCTACGTGCAGAAGCACAATGCATGATCAGCCTCCTAATTTGTGGATCTGTCCCCTGTCTCTTTATTAAATTGGAGGATTTGGGACATGCTACTTTTGTTCATTCCAGGTGTTGCCAAAATATACAATCAGCCCATACCAGCTGTGGCTAGCAGGTAGCAGGCTTCTGCTTGAGAGTTCAGAAGTTCAATTTTGGCCATTCACTCACCCATGCACAACTATCTGCCACCTGCTAGCATTAACCATTTAAGCTTTTTTTTTTTTTTTTTTGCCTACACCACCTACTCACAACAGCAGCTGGTCCCCACTGCTGGTCAGAAAAAGGTGCGGTAGTCAGTTGGCTATCGTACCTTGGGCCTGTGTACTGCCTGTAGGGCGCTGACTGGCATTTTGAGACCAAACCCATAGCGAATCCATTCCCTGCCAAGACTACTCATCCGTCCTGCTGCCATGCATTTTCCACTGCATAGGACCCGCTCAGACCCGCTCATATGGATAATAAGACAGAGAAATATAGGGAACTCTTTTTTAGCGTAGCAGAGTATGTAGCAGGTCTCACAGACACCCTGAAGAACTGTAACTATTGGAAAGAAGCTATTACCACGACAGTAACTGCATTCCAAGACCACAGAGGGAGATAAACAGCAAAGAACAACAACATCATTTCAAGTGACGTGTTTCAATTCAACATGGCAAACATCCTTAAAACCGAAATCCCATTCTGGCAAACCACTCGTATGTAATAACTTAACAGAAGAGGTACAAGCAAGGATTCTGCATTGCCAGAACGCTGTCATTTTAGTCTCATGCAGCAAAATAGGGCAGTAACATGACAGACTGCCTTTAACAACTCAACGGTGAGAATGCAAGCAACCAGGAAACGTAGTCACATTTCCGCACACTACAGAACTAATGCAGGACCACGGCTTGCTGCAATAAATGGGTACTTTTCCTCTTAAAGAACCCCTTAGTGTGCACATCGCTTGACTGCACTGTAACTGACAGATTAGCATTTATAACTAGACTTGGGGTAATAAAGATGTGCTACTGTATTTCACTGTTTTAAACAGAACATCATTAAAGATTACTTTCAGGAACAAGGTCAAGTTAGTTATCATAACCATTGCAATTTAAAGCTCCTAGACGGCTTTCAGGGGCATGCTTTGCTCTTTTAATTAATATTTTCCCATTGTGTAATATCATTTCACATCAACTGCACTGGAATATTCTGGGCCTTTGCTCCCCACCCTTTAAAATACAACTGCTAAGAGCCAATTCCACACGAATGCTTGACAAACTTTTTTTTTTTTTTGGCCAAGGTAAAACCATATATCAGAACTATGGCAGAAAGATAATTCATTTACAGTTATTCCCATGGCATGTTTAGCTGTATTTCTTCAGAGGACATTAGCTGTTATGTGCAAAATTTTACTACAAACATTGGACTAACTGATCCTCCTACAGACATAGGCAACTGTATAGGTCTTCATCCCCAAAATACATACATCGCCCATAGCTGCACGTTCAGCCTTGAATACCAAACAGTGACATGAGTTTTGAATGGATGCAAAGCAACACAACTAAAACTTGGACCATGCCTTACATGCAGGACAATCACTCTCATTTTAAGGTTATGCCTTCCAAAAAGCACAGAGCAATGAGGAAGGGGGACCACGAGCACTAATTGATGTGCAGTCTTTTTTAAAAGTTCCTATATGTTTAACCTTGCATAGCCCAAGTTTAAAACAGCATAGTCTCATTTCAGATCTTAAAGGCTGTGCTTAAAGGGAAGTCATAAATCTGGTTAATCGAACTTGCTTCTCACGAGTGGGAGAAAAAAAAAAAAAGTATTTCCCTTCAGTGAGTGCAGTATCCATGCCATCTCCTGCAGCAAGCATGAGCCATTTTGGTGCTAGGGTTGTTCAGAAACAGACTGGAGAGTTGTTTTAGCGACTGGAAAAGCACATTATTTTCCCTTTCCACCCACTTAAAGAATCTTTCTTGCTCAAACTTTCACACACACACACACACACAAAAAACCCTGTTTTGACAGGAGCCAATTCCAGAAAATAAAAACCCAGAAAATAGTATTTCATTTTATGAGTGGCAAACTCCTCTCCTCCCATCTCAAATCCCCGTGCATCTGCCCACTCCCAGGTGAGGTGAAGATACATGGGATCAGTCAACGTCATCCTGTGAGATATCCATCCCACGGATTTCAGTGATACACATCAGCTCTATGGCACCCTCTCTGTAATTCCAATCTCTTGAACAATTTTAAGCATTTTTTGTACTATTTCATTGAGGCATTTTGAAATAGACAAAAGACTGGAAAGAAAAGGGACAGTATGTTGTCTGGCCGAGAGAAACATTCACAGCACTTATCTACCAGGTAGCTAAACCATACAAAAGCATCAGGGTAAGAAAAGCTACTGCACTATTTAAGTCAGTTTGGCAGTTCTGTGGGTACAAATGAAAGAGGTTCAAAGTGAAGTGACATGCAGCACACACAAAACGTAGGACTCCTGTGAGAGACGTGAGAAGAGAGTGAAGGAGGAAGGAAACAAAGTGAGGCCCTTGCGTTTCTCTCTCAGATTCTCTCTCAGACATGAGGGAAGATGTGTAAACTAGGACTTCTATTGCACAGTGAAGCTTATCCTCATGCCCTCATATCAGACTGCTGTGGTGTGTTTGAAGGAAGTATGTACGGAAACCAGGAGGAAGCCACAAAGTCAGATTTAAGGTTATTTGTACTTGCACTGGTTTAATGATACTCATGCACAAACACAATAAACGTGTACATAAATAGGTCACCTATTCAGAAGGTTAGAAGGTTTTCTAGCTTGTTTGAGTTAACGTGCAGACAGCTATTCTGGGTGCTCAGTGATTTTGTTATGAGATTTGGAAACACAGCATTTCTATCCACAACACAATTTGTCGTGTTGACAGTTAAAGGGAAGAAGAAGGAAACATAAGACTTTAGGAAAACAAACAAATGAACAAAGTCTATGGGGAACTGTTGTATCTAGGGAGACAAAAAGAAATCAAAATCCAACAAAAAAACAAGAAAAAAACCCTCCTCCCACTCCCAAATAAACCAACTATGAACACAACACTTCTACATTTTCATAAAATTTTCAGTGGCACGGTCTGTGTAGAGCCCTGCTAACTTCTGAGAAAGTTAAGTAAATTTTATATTAAAAAAAAAAGTGTTTGGAGGGAGGAAAGGCATCATGTACTTTATAGGGAATGAAAGTCAGAAAAATTAAACCTAGCAGACAATTATAATTGCCATGGTCATATTTTTTTCTTAATTGCAGCAAAATGCTACAGCTATACAGTGGTGCAAATAACAACAGAGTTGACAATAAGATCACGGTTGTGCAAGGAGGCATGTAACATACTTCTGTCTTGTAGGGGGTGACTCACCGCAGCATGAACCTGTACAAACTTGTCCTGGTCCCTATAAACAGTGCACACAATGTTAACTGCGCTATGACTAGATGTGCTAAGTAAGAACATGCCATACTTGTAGAAAGTTTTGAGAGCAAAAGTACATTTTCAGCAAAGTTGCCAGGGCAGCACAATTTCATGGAAAGACTGTGAGCAACTCTGCAAATGTAAGTCATTCTTATAGCAGGCTGCAAGATTTAACCTAGCAGTTCATTCATGTTGAAGAAATTTGTGTCCGTAAAACAAATATGAGGAACTTCTAGTACGTTCCACAAGGACTGGTATGTACTGTTAATAAACCTAAAGACGTTCCTTTTTCCTAGTTAAAGTTGTGTACAATCTTCAACTCACCCTCCATGATAGTCAAAGGATCTTCCACTTTGGGGCGAAGGATGTTGGGGCCAAATACAGTCGCCAGATTTTGCACGCTCATTTTGTTCACGCCTGAATAAGACTGGACTTCATCAAGGAATCTGTGGGGGAGAAAGATGTCTTTACCGAATAATTGAAAAAAGAAAGGAAAAGAAAAAAAAACGAGGCACACAATGCTCTACTAACACAGTTCAAGCATTCCATTCCAAGTCCTATGCAACGTCTTAAAAGCTCATGGCTGTTCTCCTCAACTTCTTCAGATGTTCTTGAAAAATGATATATTCATAAAACCCAAAATAGTCACTCTGGATTGACTATAAAATAACTCTACTGAAGATGGTAAAACTTTCTCTGGTATAATTAATCAATTATTTGGCTCATAAAATATCTTCAAATTGCAAACTTCCCTTTAAAAGTTTATATTAATTTTGTAATTTTTTAAAGATGAAGTTCCCATAAGTTCACAACTTGTAACTGTGTAAGACATGTTTTTAAGATCTTTATGTTTCTGCAAAACTATTCTATATACTACATGATGCATACAGTTTTCAATGATACCATGCATAGCCATGGCCAGTAAGTGCAATTAGAGTTAGGAAAACCAGGTCCCTATGAAGAGGACAGGATATTCACGTCTGCCTTCTTGTTTTTCTCGCTAAATCCAGTTGCTTGTGAAAGGAGCTCATAACTGTGCACCTTGACAGAGCAAATTACTAATTCACTATGCAGTATTTTTAGTGCATTCACTTACATTCTCCAGTTCTCTGACTTTGTGAGTTATGTTCTTCCTTTAGGGCACCAACAGAGACAGGTTTGTCTGTCAGCTCACAGTTACAAATACCATTGTGATATTTTGGCAGGTGTGCTTACCGACAGATGTATTTCAGCAGGTTATAATTGACAGCTGGCAGGCTCTTCACTTGCTTCACCAATTCCTTCAGGCCCTACATATGTGATTTAAAAAAGAGAGGAGGAGGAGGCAGAGGTTCTTAGTACTTTGCCATCAAGATTCAAAAAATGTCAGCAATATCAGTTACCAAACAATAAACCCATTACTGAAACCGTATCATTAAGAGACATGCTATCCAGGTTATCATCAGAAACCACTTGTAGAAGGCATTTCAGAAGGGGAAAGCTGTATTTTGCTAACAAGGATTAGCTTTGGATAAAAGAGCCACTTCGTGGCCCCACGAAGATACTTAGGATTTCACAATGTCGCTATTCCACAAAGAGAAAAGCTTCGGATTTTCTCTCTTAGAAAATACCAAACATCCGAGTTTAGCCAGTACCTCAGTGCTTGGGACACTTGTGATGTGGGAGACCAAGGTTCTTCCTGATTCTAACCAAGGATGTAAACCCCAGTCTTCTCCATCCCAGACAAGCAGGGGGACCACCAGGCTAATGCACAATCAGCACGATCAGGAGGAATCTCTCAGTCCCACGTGTAGAGGATGTGCCTCTGTATATACACAATTCAGTATTCCTTGGCACAGAGACGTGACATTTCATCTCCCACATCTCACCTGGCTTCTGGGCTAGTGCCTCCCCCCCCTCCCCCTCTAAACTTGGTTTCATCCCACCTTTCCCCTCCCTTTCACACTCTTATTCTGACCAGCAGTTCCATGCTTCCTCCTACTGGTAAGAAGGCTGAGGCTTCTAGGAACAGTTTTCGTTTAAACTACTTGGCATTTTTGAAATAAAAAACTATTTGTTTGTTAGTTCAGTTCCAGTCCATCCTAGAGTGAGACAAACAATTATCTCAGTTTGTGCCCACCCTGAGAATGAGACAAGCAATATTACACACACTAATTTCTGTGCCCTGTAGAAACAGACCTTGGCTGTGCCCCTGCCACCAGTACCTTTGAACTCTTGTCTCAGTTGGGGTTTTGGTGCTTTGATGCGGTCTGATTACAATATGTCAGCAAAACAAATGTAATTCAGAAAGGGAGGACCATGACAGTGCATGTTTGCTGGTTGTGGGCTAAAATCAAATGAAAGTCTAATCAGACAGTTCTTACAACTAGACTGCTAAACTACAGGATTAAAACACAGGATTACACAGAATTAAAACGGCTCGTCATCCATAGTACTGATTGTTCACACACAAACAGTACCATCTCCATCACCAAAAGGCCATTGCGATTTGAATCTTGCTTTCCAAGTATATTTAAGAAAACGTTTCATGGCGTAGTCTCAGAGGAACTACCTAAACACGCTCTGGATTAAGCTAATATAAAATGGGTCAAAATTCAATCTGAGAAAGAATACCACCGCAAGCATAAACTGCATGATGACAAACTGAGGAGAGGTCAGGTGGCTTTACATTGGAGCTACCAATAGTTAGACAGGCAAACATGCACAAACAAATAGCTATAACTTAAACCAAGCTCTGAGGATCTCCTACCAAAAATTATACAATGAACAAGTCCAATTAAAGCAGCAGAACACTCCACTCCCACATTCTGTAATCAAGTGACAAAGCTACACGTTGTAGCAAGCTATGAAGGCCAGCCAAAGAAACCAGCCCTATTTCAGTGGGTATAAGAGATCAAGACCACAGAAGACAAGTTTGCCTCAGATCTTCTTTCCTTCCATCCCATCAGAAGGGAACATCACTGTGTACCTCAACTGTCTGTAGCCATCAACTGAAGGCTCAAAAAGAGATCGTCTCTCATTTAAGAAGGAGAGGCTGTTACTGAGCTTAATTAATTAGAGGAGGAGCAATGAAGGGGTTCAAGTCCAGCAGGCCATGAAATCAAGGGGAAGCGTCAAGAGGGACTAAAACAGAAATAACCACCTTATAAAGTTAGGGGAATAGACTGAAATCAATGAACCTATTTATATTTACTCTGAAGAGAAAACATCAGGGATGACATCATATACTTGTTACTCATACGCACCTAGAACAATGTAAAAGGAAGCATTTAGTGTCATTTTTTACTTCTTCAGACTAATATATACTGACACCAAACCGGTGCAGAGCAGACACTAAGTCACAACACTGATTTTCCTAATTGCTATTGGGTCGATTTTACACAGTTTGGAAGATGGCCCATCACTGCTACAGAAGGCATCTTTCTGATTCAACGATAGGTAATTCATAGAGTCCTTTGGACTTTTACCAAAAGTCAATAAAACTTGGCATCCTAAGACACAAGGAAATGACCCCTAATTTAACGGCAAGAGGCACACAGCTGCTGATACAGTTAGAATGCTAATCCACTTAAACAAAACAAATGCTCTTCCGTGCAAATCATGTTTATTTGAACTGGGATTCGATGACATGCAGTAAACACAGCAGAAAGGATATTCCACGCGGACTGCCAAGTGAGCAAGTTGGCAATCATTTTGATGTAAAGACGGCCTAAATTAATAGAGGCAAGTCTTAAATCAGGAGAGATAATCACCAACTTCTCTCCTCCTCCTCCAAGTCAAAACAGGTTGTAACATGCCAAACTTTTCATCTCACTGGAGCTGCAAACTCACCGCTTCCTCCTCCTTGCTGAGCATTTTGGCACAGGAAAGAAAATCTTCGTATTTTGCGAATGGTACGACTGGTTCTGGGAGTTCCCTTAGGTACAGTTTGAGCAGTGATGCCACGGTGTGCACATCTGTATTGCTGTGAGATTGAAATACAAAAGGTTACTACTGTGGATCAGGAAAATGCTGCGCAACTGACAGGCTAACCACTGCTGCTTTACTTTTCCCTTATCATCTGGGACTTTACTCATGAGCTGTATATACGATTATAGATTATATCTGTAATCTGGTTTTAGTTTCCTTGTCCTCTAAAGGACCTATAAGGATACCTGCAAATAAAGCTGTATCAGCTTTGATGATTTATTACTACCAAACATTTACAGATAGCGCCCTATTTGCAGAAACAGGTGCCGAGAAGATCTTGCCTGTCCTTCAGAGGCATCTCACATCAGGCATGCAAAATCTGTCTTAATGAAATGATGCATTTCAATTTCACCAGAGCCAGTAACGAGGCCTCATAACCAAAGCATAGCAAGTCACTCAAACTTGGAGAATGTCTGAGCGGCAGAACAACAGGAAACGTATTCGGACTTAGTCAGGATAAGTCTTAAGAGTAAGATGACAGTCAAAGAGCTGACGTAACACATGCTTTCTTAAAAACCCAGGCACAGAAACTTAGGTTCTTTTAGGCTACACCTAGCAGGAGCTGGGGCTGATCATCAGGCTCACTAAAAGCAAGAAGATGGGGAGAAAGGAAAGAAAACAATCAGGAGTTCAGAATATGCAATATGATCTTCTTAAATCTTTTCCTGGTACATAAAGTTATAGTGTGCTTACTTTGAAGTACTTCTGTAAAAAGAAGCAAGTAGAAATGGATAAAAGTACGAGTTAGCACGAAGAAATCTCTCGTGTTACTTCTGACACCATCTCTGGATTTAGCTGCTCAGACATTTCTTTACATCTTTCCCCACTGTAACGTTTTACATGCTTGCACTGTTTCAGACAACGGGAATGATACTGCAACCTGATAGTCTTCCCTCTGACTTTGGAAAATTTTGAAAAGCTAGTACTAAATTATGCTAATTTCATTCAGAAGACAAAGGGAACGCACAGGTATTTCTACAACACAGGTTAGTATGGTATTGTTCCTTTCCCTTTAAGGGCGTTCATACTCAGAGCATTCTAAAAATTCACCACCTTACAAAGGGAACCACTGGTATTTGGTGCACTTTAGCTTTGTAAGAGGTATGTTAATCATTACGTTGGAATGATCTCTGCTGAAACAAAAGCAGCTTTTACTAAGTTAAATCTTAACAAGCATGCTGGGAACAACCTTAGATTAATGCGGTATGGCACGAGCGATCTAAATAAAAACAGATGAAGAGAAATGATAAATAACTGTATGTATTTAAATGGTAGCCCCCTAGAAATGAATTCCCAGCAAAAATTTCTCTTTCAACCCTGAAAAACACCACCAAAATTCCACAACTTGTATGAAAGGACTTTTTAGAGGAACCCTAAATCAAGCACTAACTCAAACTACATCTTTAGTGACGTTTCAGATTCTAATCCCTGCTTTGCAACCCTCTACTTTTAGTGTGATTTGCATCCAAAATGAAAATAATCTACTGTCCCCCATCTTGTGGATGCATGTGTAACGTAAATGAGAAACAGTACTATGCATGAAACTAGGTCCAGTTCTGCTTTGTATGAGATTTCAAGCGCTCATTCAGATTTCGCCTCCATCTGCTGTCTTCTATCCGTACTCAATCCACATGCAAATTAGAGCTTTTCGTGACATCTTGGTTAACAAAACTCATTACCGATTGCACAGCCCAAGGGCTTAAAACACAGATCTTAATAATTTTCTCTCATGTAGATACTTACATCTTTTGTTGCTGTCACTGGTGCCGATTTTTAGAGTATGCATACTAAGGTAGTTGGCACAGCTTGGTCTTATCTAAGAAGTCAATTGTAGAGAGAACTCTTTAAAAGAGTTTCTTGAATTTGTTGGTGCATCAGCAAGACAAAACGCAAATACACAGGGAAAAACCTTTGCTAGTCAGACACACTTCAAAGCAGAGCAGCAGCCACAGAGAACAGATGTGAACTGGCAGCCTTAAGAGTGCCCTACGTAACAGAATTAAAGCAAGCACAGACTGTGAATGTGCAGAGAATTTAACTCTGATTTCCCTGCATTCATTTTTATCTTTCTCAAGACTTTTTTTTTTAAATTAAACAGGAAAACTCTGCAGGCCTGCTGAAGCACTGAATCACGTTTTTCCAGACCTTATTTGGCATCAAAACCAGAGAGGTCCTTCAGAAATACCACAACATAAACACAGGTAGAGGGAGAGAAATTACTTGGCGTGAAGTGAAATACTTGCTCCTTGAGGGATGAGCAGATGGGGAAAAAAAGCAGGAGGAGGAAAAAAACTGAGGAGGTAATCCTCATGTAAACTACAGTCACGCTTCATTGTGGGAAGCTTGTTGCTTTGCCTGTATCCACAACCACCTCTATAGAGTAACACTGTGAAGGGTTAGTTGCCTGCTAAAAACATTGGCTCTGCCAAGGAGGAACTGAAAGAGAAATGGGAAGGCACGATGCTGAGGTGCAAGGAAACAACAGCAAGTCCTGTGTTCTCAAGCTAGCTTCCTGAAGTAGATGCTGTATCTGAGTCTACAGAAAAGTGTTTTTTGGGCTGGGGTTAGAAACTCAGGCCATAGTTTGGAGACTGGGAAACAGCTGCAGTCTTTTGAATTAACGCCTATCTACTGAACGAGTGGTAAGGCATTACCAGCAGACTGCCACTAGATGGTGCGATTGCAAAGATTATCCTAAAATTTGGAAAAGTCCATTTGTTATGTCTGTCCCTGAACCTTACTGGAACGCTGCTTGGGACTTAAATTCAATCTATCCTCACAGAAATTACCATACAGAGTTTGGCAGCATAAACAAACAAACATACATGCATACACATACTGCCTATAAAGCTGCTTAAAAGAACTGGAATTTTAAAAATTCCATTAACCAGCAGTTATGTAGAAGCTAGAAATCTCATTTCCATGTAAAATATTGATATCAAAATATGATGAGTAATGCAACTAAAGGAATGTCTTATACAATCTGAAGACTGTTTAGACTTTGCAATCTAGTATTATTTTTTCACCCTTCATTTTAAAACACAGAGTAAAGTATTTCACAATAGCAGACTCCAATTTTAATCCATCTCTGTTCTAGGTGTTTCAATCCAGAAATACCATTAGGCCAATTTCAGCCACAGAGGACAGCTGTGATTTTTAAAGGAATGCTGAATTCCAAGTTTTCTTGTAGATCAGAAACATTTGTCTCCTCTCCTGTCTGCAGTCTTGCATCCACATAAGTAAGAACCACATTCTAACCAACCAAATAGAATAATAGTTCTAATATACGGAACATTGGTTCAATCAGAATACTGGTTCTATATGTAAAAATATATTTTAAAAAAGTACTGATACATCTGCCTTGAGGGCATTTACAGAATTTGCGATCTGCTGATCTTTTCGGGGCCGGCAGAGAGCCCTTTTCCTCATGGACTTTTTCCAGCTACAACAAATGAGTTTTAAAAAAAGACAAACCTGGCCTTGCTTATATCCTAGGACCATTACAGCTACAGAAATCTAATAATTATACCTATCTTGATACACCTTTTGTTGTCTGACACTGTAATATCAAAGTGTTTAACTGTTAAACATTCATAATTAACATGATTAAAAGTATTAATTAACAAGTACTAAAATAGAGAAAGTCAAACCCAGCAGAAATTTCCTCAGCTATCTAAACTGGAACAAACATCATTAACTGAGGCAGACTCTGTACAAGGGCAGAATGAATAATAACAAGCTTGAAGCGGCAATGATGAAGCACAGAGCAGAAAATTAAATGCAACTCAATAGCAAAGAAGCAAGCTGAGAAACAGCCTATTTCAGCATCTCAAGCTAGAAAGTCTGAGCAAGATTATTTACCTCACTAAGAAAAAAAGCCCAGTATTTCGATGATCAGAAATCATGAGTGATTTTTACTAAGGAGTAGATAGAGAAAACTTGGCCTCACCATGGGGCCAAGGGGAGAAAAAGGGAACATGGCAGAAGTAGCAACATACAACTATGTCAGACAATAGGGATAAACAAACAGAGAATAGGACCTCTGTGCACCTTCAGGGCTCTGAGTTCTCTGTCTGGACTGGTGCAGCACAACTCATGCGTGGGACCCCTTTCATCGTGTGCATCACTGCAACGAAAGGGACACTGGCTCCTTTCTGCTGTCCCAAGGGCTGGCAAGGAGAAAGTGACTGGGGGTGGTTTGTGCTCTGTTAAGTGTTGTCCCTCTGTATAGTGGGATTGGTATCAGACTGATTTTTTTTCTTGGCTCTGAACAGTAACACTCCTCACTTTCTCAGGAACAGAACAAGCCTTAAGTTTTCCTCCTGCTAAGTCACAAGAAGGTGGGGTTTTCACATCTTCCACATTAGCTCAAGGATGTGGAAACGGCTTAAATTCAAGCTGTCATCAGTTTAGCAGGTGCCAGATGTCCCATGCGAATACTCATTGCACTGCAGTTTGGTTTTATGAAAAACTGCAGGTAGATTAGATAAGGAGGAGATAACCTCTCTGCCCTGGTCCCTTAGCCCTCATGTCCAGGGAGGGTAACAGATCCCAGCTGTGTTGGGCTAGGGGAAGGTGTAACCCCACCCCCCCTCGGTTGAGATGATTATGGGAGAAATGAGTACCTGTGCCACACAGGTTACTGCCAGCTAGTTCTGTGTTGAGATAAGTTAACGAAGTTGAGGCCAAAACAAACCACATCCTCTGCAACTCATCCTTTTTCCTGCATATGTGGGATACACACATTGTTCTAGGTAAGATAGACATACCAAATCTGGCCCCTTCCTAAACTTCAACAGCATGATCGCTCTCACTCAGACATGCTTTGAGTGAAGTCCGAGGAGTTACACCCAATTATGCAAAGTCTTAAGATTGCTGCCAACTTCCTTTAATTGCAAACAATTAGAATAAATAATTTTGTTAGATGTTAATAAGCTTTGACAGAGAGTCCCCTCAATGAAATTTCCTTACTCTTCCATTCCAAGTTTTGCATTT